AGTTCATATCTTAAAGGAAATGAAGATCTTGGTTTCCTCACCACATTGGGAAGGTCAGTAGGGGTGACCTCCCAGGTCTTTCCAGCTTTGCATGTCTATGACCCAACCACTCCTCAGACAGCCCTCCATCCCTACCACAAAGCTTCTGTGGGGGGGGGGGGGGGGGTAGGTTCTACCCTCTTTCCCAAACATGCCCCATCTTTGATGTAAGAATTCTGTTCACCTCATCCTTTCACTTTACCTCCCCCTGGAAGAGTCTTTCCTCACCCTGAGAAGCAGCTCTGGCCATCACCCAAAGTTTAAATCTGACCCCTTCCTCCAGGCTCTTTCTACCTCCTGCATTTGAATTAATGCATCTTTGCTCCCAAAAATCTAGTGTGCACATATGTGCATATAAGTAATTTAATTTAGCTGGATCTGTGGTCACATTAACAGAAATCTATCTTAACTGAAGGCACACCGGGCTTTGATTTTAAAAAACACCACAATACAGGTTTCTGCTGCATCAATCTCAACATTTTTACTACTGACCAAGTTGACATACAGAATCGGATAGTTGATATAACTCAAGGTGAAGGTCATGTTATAAAATGTTTAATAATCCACTGAAAATATTTAAAAAATAAAGTGTGAATACAGAGAGAATGTGCATCAACATTAGAGTGTTTTTCCTTTTCTTTAACCAAGCCCCATTTATAAAGTGCTTTGAATTTCTTAAAACTTCATTTCTTCTTCCAAGTTTAACCAACTCCTTTTTTTACCAATTTAATTATTATCTGGAGATTGGGATAAGGGAACTAAATTTTGCTTTGGATATAAAAGACATATTCTAGTCAAACAGAGCTACCAGAATAAATCATCTCTACAGAAAATGAATATCCTTTCTTTCTTAAAAAACAAAACAAACAAAAAAAACACCCCTGTAATATTAAAAAATAATAATAATAACATACTTTACTAGTAAGGTTTAAATTCTTAAAATAATTCATAATATGATAACAGAGCATATCCAAGTAGAAAAGGCAGTGGGCATAGCCAGTACTGGGTGAGGCATTAAGCCATGAGGTTATCATATTATAACGAGGAGAGCAATTGCAATGCCCTGTCACCATGCACTACCAGCTCTCTTGGGTGTCATTTTCACCCGCGACTTACGAGATTTTCCGGTTTGAAACCTCATCATCAGTGTGAAAACTGAAGCTGCTCCAGAGGCAAGAGGGAGAGAAGCAGCTCTTGTGGCATTTGAACTGAAGATACTCAGGCAGAGAAACCAATCTGGTGGTGGTGTAAGAGATAAATGGAACCGGAAGAAGAGGAGACGGTGGGAACAGAAAAGACTAAGCAGAGGAGAAGACAATGAGAAATGTGATGGCAGAATGAAAAAAGAAGGGCAACTAAAACAAAGCCAAAAGGTGAAGGCAATGTGGGGATCAGAAAGAGAAAGGGGAGAGAGGGAGGAGGAGGAGAGAAAAAAATATATAAACAACCTTTGGGTATATGAAAAGCAACATGTACCATATGCCTGTACATCTGATTGCTGTTTTTATGAATCACAGATGCTAGCAAATGACCAAATACAGAATTAGAATCTAGGCACAAATCCATGAACCTCAAGAGCTGGAATATCACTGATACGCACTGTTTAAAAATAAAAATCAAAGCTTCAGGTCAACAAGTTTCTTGAAAGTTACTGCCATATTGATTCTCTTGAGTGACTACAACCTGGGGAGGAAATTCCGTTGTTCTGTTCCTGAGTCTGAAACTGTTCAAACACAAACAGAAGAAGGTGATGTTGGATTCTTAGTTAGTCATTTTCAAGCACACCTGCCAACCGTAAATGCCACATACTTCCGGAGTTCCTCAGAAAAGCATTTCCATCATGTCCATCTCTCTGCATTTTTGGTCTATTTTTCCAATTTAAAGTGAATTCTAGCAGGTTCTACCTGGATCCAACCATGAAGTAAATCAGAAATTGATGTCCCTGTACCATGCCTTTCAGGGGCCAGGATTACAACTCTCCTTGGACCTGGGATGTTTCCCACATTTTCCTGACTCTCTCACTCTACCAGAAACAACATGTGCTCCTCAATCAGTCTTTAATCATTCAAAAACAGGCATAATAAATTATTAATCAAGAAATGAATCCTTGTTAGGGTAGAGCTAGCCAATAAATAGTCCTTCCTAGGTAAGAAATGATAGAAAAGCACATCAAAGTCTAATTTGTCCATTAGATCCCTTACATATAGTTATAACTACACTAATGGTAAGAATTTCCATTCAAGTACCAATGTGATTAGGAAATTCTTTAGGCACAACTGGCCTTTCTTCAGCTTCCAAATCAGCCAACATATGTCCCTGTCTACATGTAAAGTTGATGTAGACTAGCAGGTTATAGAGCGCTTGGCCTAAAGCAAATACTACGAGATGAATTAAGACACTGGTCTTCATTATTATTGAACTAGAGGCCCAGTACACAAAATCGTGCACGTATGGGGTCCCTTGGCCTGGCCAGCAATTGGGGCTGATTGGGACCATTTTGCCCAGTCTCTATCAGAGCTGATGGGTGCCGGCCAGCTGAGGAGGGGCACAGGAGGTTGTCCAGCTGGGGAGGAACCACAGGGCATGTCTGGCCTATCTTGTCCAGCCCTTATTGGTCAGACACCAGCAGCAAACTAATCTATAGGTTGGAGCATCTGCCTCCTGGTGCTCAATACGCAGCATAGCGACTGGTCAAAGAGTCTTCCAAAGAGTAGCCCTATTGGTCAGACACTTAGCAAATTATGCTTTTATATATAGATAGATCACTAGAGGCCTGGTGCATGAAATTTGTGCATTGGGGGAGGGAGGTGTCCCTCAGCTCAGCCTTCACCTTCTCCAATCTGGGACCCTTCGAGGGACATCCCTCTCACAATCTGAGACTGCTGGCTTCTAACCACTCACCTGCCTGCCTGCCTGACAGTCCCCTAACTGCTCCTTTGTTGGGCTGATTGACACCTAGCTGGTCCCCTGCCTACCCTATCACCCTCAACAGCCCTCCCTACAGGCCTGGTTGCCCCTAACTGCCCTCCCCTGTTGGCCCTATCACCCCCAACAGCCCTTCCCTGCAGGCCTGGTTGTCCCTAACTGTCCTCCCCAGCAGGCCTGGTCACCCCCAATTGTCCTCCCCTGCAGGCCTGGTTGCCCCCAACTCCCCTCCCAGTTATCTTGTGACAATGTGGGGGCGGCCATCTTGTGGTAGCCATCTTGTGATGACAGAGGTGGCCATCTTGTGACATGAGGGTGTGAGGGCCAATCTGCATATTGCCTCTTTATTATATAGGATTCTAAACCCATTAATATTTTTGGCATTTCCAAATAAACAAAATCTGAAAGGTTGATTGGAAGCATCATATTCAAACATCAAATCCTTCAGCAGAACTGAATTTCATTAAAGACTTTAACTTTCCGTCACCAAAACCCAAGTCAAAGAGACTGGAAGTGATTAACAGGCTAACAGACATGGAAAGCCTGAAAGTCCCACATTCATTGGCTGCACCCGGACACGTGACTCAACTGCAATGACCCGGCACCCACGGTGACCTTAAACACTGACAGGAACAAAGTCCACCTGCCAGGTCAAGCTTGAAATAAGTGAAATAAACTCTTCAAGGTACAAAGCATAAGCAACGTTTGGAAATGTGGGGCTTCCTAATAAAATTTTTATTAAACTCCTGGAACATAAAAACCTTTCTGAATCTGGAAGTCTCTGTCTTGACAGGCAGTTTTGACTTGCACACCCGTGGACAATAACTCTAAGTACAGTGCTTGCGAAATTACAGAAGCTCAAAAATGTTTTTCAGTGCATGAATGACTGTTCATTCACAATGAGTGGATGAACAATTCAGTGATAGTATGCCCATTAGTGATACAGGTGGTCGGCACCCACCCTCCCTTAACATGGTGGTATTTCAGCCAGGAGAGACCTTAACATGGTATTTCAGTGAGGAGAGACTAGAGAAGGAATCCTTACAGGCGTCTTCAAACTACGGCCCGCGGGCCACATGCAGCCCGCAGAGGAGTCTGATCCGGCCCGCCAGGTTTTTTGGGCAGTGAGTGCAGCCGAGGTGTTACAGTAGGAATTAGTAGTTCATATAGTCCGGCCCTCCAGCTCTCTGAGGGACCGTGATCTGGCCCCCACTTTAAAAAGTTTGAGGACCCGTGCTAGAAGAACATAGAAGATTGACTGGTGTCCAAAGAAACATGCTTAAAGGAATCTCATTAATATAAATGCTCACTACATTCCATGCCTATGACTAAGAAGACATCTCACGGAACACTCACTTGAGCTACCACTTCAGGAGGGGAGGGGGGCAGCAGGGTACAAACATCAACAAGGTGTTCTGCAAATTCTCACACCTCACTGCGCTGCCTCTACCCAGAAAACAGAGCCTAAATCACGATGTCAGCATCTCCCTGGTTCCAGAAAAGCATGTGCCTGTGTAAACTCCTCTGTTTTATTTTATTTTATTTTAAAATATATTTTATTGATTTTCTTACAGAGAGGAAGGGAAAGAGATAGAGAGCTAGAAACATCGATGAGAGAGAAATATCGCCAGCTGCCTCTTGCACACCCCCCACCAGGGGTGTGCCCACAGCCAATGTACATGCCCTTGGCCGGAATTGAACCTGGGACCTTTCAGTCCGCAGACCGACGTTCTACGGCTGAGCCAAACTGGTTTCGGCCAAACTCCTCTGTTGTTGTGCCCTATGGCCGCAGAACTTATTCTCTGTGCTGAATGAAGGAATGATGTTTCCTGAAAGCTACCTAATGCTACAGAGCATGGTCCCAGTGATGACCCCAGGAACTCGCCAAGAAACTTGCATTTTGAAATGACTGGAAATGGAAGTGCCATGTGGCAAGATATAGCAATCCATGGCCCGGAGTCATCGCAGACGCGAGGGGCCCTGCTGGCCCTGTGGATTCTACCACATGTGCCTCCCTCCTGGTTAAAGAAACTCACCGCAGTGCAGAATGCCTTCCGGAGCGGGACACACTGTTGCCCACGGGGGAGGGCAGGTTGCTGCCTCTGTGCAGGTCCTCGATGGACCTACTCCAGGGCTTTGATTTGTCCACCGAGCTCTCCACGGTGCTTTCCACGCTGTCAAAGTCAAAACTGAAACAAAAGAGAAATGCCACGAGAGACTTAGAGATTCACATTCACACAAACACATGATGTGCATAACCTATTCCTTTCATATGTCTGCCTGCACCTTAATCTGGGTAGTCTTTGCAAACAAACAAAAACTAAAAGGGAAATACAAAAGAATGTCCTTGTACTCCATGGTAGCTTCAAAAATACAGAATGACAAATACTGGGCCAGGCAAAGTAGCTGAACAGTAGCAAAAACTAAATAGTGATGTATCTGCATTTTACTATAAAGTTTGCTAGCTTACCAATTGCCAACATTGCTCAGATGGGAGGTGGGGGAGGGTGGAATCGTACAGATGTCTTCATTTTGCTTTAACACGTCAATATGTTGGGCTTATACTAATTTATTCCTACCCATCAATTTTCACTGCGCATTTTCTCCTAGTGTTTTGGCAAGTGTGCTTTTCCAACCATATGTGATACATTACTCGCAAACTTATGAATTTGCTTTGATTTTGGAATAGCTTCCCAATGTGGTGCTCTTTAAAGCAGGGCTGTTGTTTCTCTGACATTTTTGAGGTTATTACTCATGTTAACCATGTTAGAATAAATGGCAAGTTAAGTCACTCGGTCTTGTATAATTTTAGGGGCAGTATCTTTTTTAAACAGACAGACCTTTGAGTTCTATGTATTTTCCCCTCCCAAAGTCAGAAGCTCTGCTTCCTCCAAAAAAGTATTTTGTCAATTGTTTCTACCCATAGTTCCACCAAGCAACACCTGATCAGATAAGAGAATAAACAGAAGGCAACTAAAATTAATATCATCTGGAAGATCTTGGAGGCTTTCGCACAAGAAACAGCACCAATACATATTGGAAATAATGAGCATGACTTTTTCTGAAGAAGCATGACTTTTATAAGAAGTATGATGGCCAAAATAAAATATTTGGTTAGAACAGTCATCTGTAAACCAGGTGATGTTCTCCATCTATTAAGTATTAATCCAGATGTCACAGGCTGGTATATATAATGGCACTGACTTGGTCTGACAATTCTGTCGTGTCTTAGGATTCAGGAAACACTGCTGAACCGAAAAGAGGTGGGAGCTGAGACATTAAATAGATCTTTGAGTACTAAAAATAGAAGTCAATAATTGAGATAGGAGAAGGTAAGCTGAGGGGACATTCCAAGTTTGCTCAAGTCTGCCCCACTCTCGCCAAGTCTCTCTGCAGCCCCCACGCCATTCAGCTGTCCGGCTCTCATGTTCCTTTCGGCTGGTCTCAGCTCTCACACGGCAGCAAAAGGAACCACCATGGTGAAAGCTTGTGCTTTCGGGATGGAGCCCGAGCCCGCTGTTTCACATTCTGTGGGCTAGGAAGTTGTCACATGCCAAGGAATAGCAAGAAATTTTCCAGCCCATTAGCTTCAAGAAAGAACATAAATTGTGTGTCTCTGTATAATTTGTCATCTAATTAATGCAAAAGAAAACCAAAACTAATCAGCACAAATGTGAAGCCAATGCAAAAAGAAAAAAAGAAAAAAGAAGATTGGGGAGCAAAAGCTCTGAGTTCTGATCTTTTGTTGGGTTTGATCTTCTGCCACAGAGGAGAATTCCCTCATGGTGGCATGGCCTTTTCCCATGGGTTTTATGTAAGGTACATTTGGAAAAGCTGGTTCCAAAGCTCTATTGTGATGTAGGAAAAAGGTCAATTATAGCAAACATATAGCACATAGCATACCATTATTCCTGATGTTTCTCAGCCCTTCCTTAATTCCATACATAATCTTCCAGATTATAAAATATGCAACAGAGTACTACTATTGGTTTGTCATATGATATGAAGAGCAAAAGGAGATTACCGTAGCAGTTGTGATATAGTGGAGATAAGAAACAACCTTTGGGAGAGTACTCTATTAAAAACTAAGATTATATTTCAGAGGACACTTTCTCAGGAAGATAAGAGCCTGTGTTTGGTTTTTAGTACTCTATTCCATATATTAAAGTTACCAAAGCTGAAACTCATCAAGCCAGTTTCAGTTAATTCTTTAGTTTCTGCATCTATAAGGTAGGAATAATAATTTGAGAAGTTCTCTTCACAAATTCTCAAGGAGGTGATAAGGATAATGAGATAAAATAGTATCTGGTTAGGTCTTAAAACTTTATTGGAGTGAGGCAATATAAAACAAACAAAAAAAACAAGTGATTGAGTTTAAAAGAACTGAAGGAGGTGGGGAAGAGAAATAACACCTGAGCCATAATGTCTTCTGGTAAATTAGAAATACAATACTATTTCCTCAAGATGTGTGAGAGCATATCTGTGAGCACAGAAATGTTTTTTGATTCAAGGAGGAAATGTGGAGAATAGAATATCTTATTCAAATGTACTTTTCATTCCTGTTGTAAATCTTTCCAGAAGCGAAGTGAATAGGAAAAGTTTACGAATGAAGAAAAACTAGGTAAAATAAGTTACTTTGTTCCTTCTTTGCTCAACCTTTGTCCCCTTCACCTTTATGAAAGGCAAGTCCATACAAATACATAAAAGCAAAAAGGGCAAGACTCTTGTTCACCACTTCCAGCCTGCTACTCATTTCTATATTCACTCACACATGCTAATACACATACATATGTAATTTATTAAAACAAAAAGGGAGTCACTCTCCTGTATCTTGCTTTACTCACTCAACATATATCACACACCTCTCTCAGGGAGTGCTGGAGTATTCTACCTTACGAGCACTAAACACAGTTCTTTTTAAAATAAGGTCTCTTCAAGAGTAATTTTTACTCTGTTTTTACTTCTGCCGTAAAAGCATTCCTAATAACAATTATGGGATTTGCTGTTAGTCGTTTGAATAGAAACAAGCCTCCACAGACCAGGGCACATCTGCTTCTGGTTTCTCTGGCAGCGCAGGGTGGAACCATACCACTGAGCTGCATCTTCTGTGACCACATAAAACGCAGGAGAAACAAGCCAAGTTTTACTTACGTTACCGCGTACTGCGCAAACGACAGATACTCCACCAGGACATCGAGGCCTTTGTTTTCTTCATTCAAAAACTCCCTGACCCATCTGTTGGGGGGGAAAAAAAAATATGGGGGAGATACGTCACATGCTCTGCCACAAAAGGCCACGGTGAAAAGCTTTTGTTTTTCCACCACAAACCTTCATCGCCTGAAAGGAAAGCCGTCACTAAGGAAGCCTAGACTCTACCACACCAGGCAGGAGCTGTCGGATAGAGCCACCAAGAACTCCGCCACATTTCGATGTGCAAGAATAGGGGGCTGAAGGCATCTGTGGGCCTTCTTGGAATTTTGCTGCTTAAGAGACTTAAGAGAACCTCTAAGAAACTTTCTAAAAAAAGGCACTTGCTAACTGTACTTTTTTCCACCATCACTGATCCCCAGCCCGCTGGCTACAGGAGCCAAGACTGCACGGGGAGGGAGGGAGGCAGACAGGGGACATGACGACATAACCACTGAAATCCAGGCGCGAGGCCAAATCCACATTCAACTCTTTTCTTGGCACCCGAAGCTGCAGAAAGCGCTCAACCGGCCAATGAGAGGCCCGTGTTTATGGGCTTCTGGAAATTTGATAGGGATGGTTTGCTTAACTTTTTCCACGAACGTTCAAACCTTTCAGGAAGTTGCAGACACCGCATACCATCATCAGAGTTGAGACGTGACAAATACCATGTTTTTCAAAAATTCTTTTGAAAATAGAGATCACCTTGCATTTGAGTGGTGGGTTTGAATGGATTTCATTGGTTGATTTTTTGGTGTTTCTGTTTTGTTTTTTTTCTTTTACAAATTTGTATTCATTTTTCATAATCGTTCCAAGAGATGAAGTCAGCTGGTCACACAGAACTCTTAGGTACTGGAGATAAACAGCTGTTGCCCCACCTTACAGGATTCCCCAGGGTATCCATCATCAGAAAACATGGGATACCCTATTAAGCCTTCACTAGATTGGCAACTCCAACAAATAATATCTGCTCCTGTCACAGAAGTGAAACAAGATACATCGGCCAAGGGCATTCCAAAATGGCTGCCTCTTCCATGCACCCCCGCCCACGAGGCCTAGCAGGCATGGCACAAGAGCGACCACGGGAGCTGGTGAACCGCTGGTCAATCCTACCACGTGTCCTTAAGGATGAGCAACCCCTGGAGGTCTCAGTCTTAAAAGAAGAAAAAAAATCTGAATTCAGGATGCCTGCTTTCTATTTTTGTTTTTTGGAGGGTATTTTCTTTGTTTTTCTTTTATCCTCACAGTTCATTCTTCCTTTAAAAAAAAAAAAGTGTGAGTTTTGTTTTTTAATTGATTTGAGAGGAAGGGAGAGGGACAGAGAGATAGAAACATCAATGATGAGAATCACTGATAGGCTGCCTCCTGTATGCCCCGCCTCTACGGGGGAGCAAGCCCACAATCCGGGGCACGTGCCCTGACTGTGACCTCCGGGTTCATAGGTTGATGCTCAACCCCTGAGCCATGCTGGGTGGGCCATTCTTCTGTTTAGTCCCACCCTCTCCAGGATGGAAACTCATGTCTGTAGGTGGTCCCACTGGGCAGCAAGGTGGGGGGAAAAGATGCTGGCCTCAGATTTTCCCGCAACAGCCTCGGGCAGACTATCACAAAATGCATGCATTTAGCATGGCCACACGCAAGCACGTAACATTTAACTTGCAAAAGATCTGGCGTGGCAACCCTGGCAAGGAAACACACCACCACCGGGCCCCACCAAGTGGCTCTGTGATGGCAGCTTACCCAAACGAACAGGGCCAGCTGCTGGTCAGGGCCGAAGCTTCATTCCAAAACCACCGCACACACAACCTCACAGCATCTGCTACTAGATACTTATTTTCATTGGATTTATTTTAATTGGTCCCTACACAAGTAGGCCTCAGGAGAGAGGATTTTTTAAGCACTGATCATTAGAAACTTGGAAATAGTAAGAGAATTTGTTTTTTCTTTGTATAACTGGTAGGAGGAGACTACAGAAAGGCTAATAAAAGTCACTATGAAAATGAGATGACTAGCTACAAACCCCTTGGCTTCTCTCAGGCCTCTCCGACGGTCTGACCAATGGGCTCTGACCACACCCTCTGAACAGGCTCCCAGAGTGGGTCACAGTAGCGAGCCCCAGAGCTGGGCATGGGGGTCATCTTTATACAGGAAATGTCACCAACGGGTCCCGGTTTTCCAGGGCAGTCTCGGCTCTCCATAGCCTCAGTGGCCTCAGGGAATACTCTAATGTAGGAGTGGAGAAAAACAGCCACAGAGGTCCTGCTGGTTGACTTTCCAGATACTGCCTCTAAAAGAGTAGAGCTGGTCCAGGACACTTGGAGGACCTGTCATTGCCTCAACCACTGTCACAGCCATCTCGCTTGAAACTTCAGCTGCACAGATAGACAGACATGAGAAGAGCAAGGGCGAAGGGGCAGGTACAGAAAGCCAACCAGGCAGAAAGCCTAGCATCGGAAAAAGCTGGGAAAACAAGGATCTTTCATATTGCTAGTCATGCAGATCGGACCCTCCAGGGTAGGGGTGTCGAACTCAATCAGAGAAGGGGCCAAAATCTAAAATCCAGCCTAAATCGCGGGCTGAATGGTTTACTGAACAGTCATAAACTGTCATTGTGATGGAAACGCAGCGGAGTGCAGTGATGACAGCGCGGTGCGGGCCACATTGCAAGGCCTGGCGGGACGGATTTGGCCCGCGGGCCTTGTGTTTGACACATGTGCTCCAGGGCAATGAGGTTCTGACCCACATCAATACATATAGGCCTCAGTTGTGTTTCAGCTCCAGGCCCAGAAAGGCAGGGAAACAGACAAGGGAGGCCAGGGCTGGCAACAGGATCGGCTGCATTGATTCATGACCAACCAATCAGTGGAGACCATGAACGGAAAGGGCACACCTGGAAAGTTGATGAATATTCTATTGGGATCCTCCCCTGAGCCCTCCAGATAAATACCCTCAAGACAAGAACCCAGTGCCTCTCTCTCCTTCTCTCCTTCCCCACCGCCAACCCTGAGCAGTGGTTTTCTAGCCTCTCCCTTTCTCCTAAGCTCCAAGGGCCCTTCTTTCACCTGTGTAGCTTGTTTCTTGAGCCCATGTCTTCCATGGCTCACTTCTCCTACCTCTGTTACTTCAAATAAACTTTCCCTTATCGTTTGAAGAAAAAACAAAACAAAACAAACAAACAAACAAACAAAAAAAGCAATGGAAAAAATGTTCAGCCACAAACTGGATAGGAGGCAAATGACTCAGATAATGAATTAAAAAAAAAAAAAAAGATGAAGAAGAAGGGAGAGAGGAAGAAAGGAAAGAAGGTAGGAAATAGCCAAGCACAGCCAGAGCTCAATTCTCTTGACTCAAAATGCTAATATGCATATAGTCTGATGCAAGGATAGACTATTAATTAGCTTCCCCCCAACTCAAGGTTCTTATCAATTCCTCCACTCCCACTTGTTGACTTTAAGCAAAAGTGCCTTGAAAACAACTTTCACATTGAAAGGCAGGAGCCAGCAGCTCAGTTCCGAAAGAGCCAGCAGAAGGTACCATGCCCTGCCTCAGAGACGTCACCTCAAGCGATCAACCTCTTTCTAAACTGCAAGATCTGCCCTGGGTCTCAGGTCTGGCCCAGGCACGCCTAGGTGATTTAGGAAATAAAATAAAAGTATATCATGGTTGATTATCTTACCCCATTAGTCAAATGATATCACGTCAGTAAACTCATTTCAGGAAGAAAAAAAAAAAAAAAAAGAGGCTATACTTTTCCCTGTTCTCTCAATCCCTATCCCTTCCACACCGGGGATATTCTGAACAGAAGAAAACACAGGTGAGAGTGAACTTCTGTGGAAAAGAAAGAAGATGGAAAGAAAACAGGTAATCATGAAATAAAGGGCAACTTTCAAAGCAGTACCTTGAATCTGAAGACATAAAAAAAAAAAATAGGTATCCCAATGTAAATACTAATAATCAACAATGAATTAGCATGAATGTTGAGTTCCTGTAGTCAATTTCCACTTTCACCTCTGTGCATGCTACACACATTTTGTTTTATTTATTACCAATAGGCAAACAGTTTCAAATTGCGTAATGATAGGTTTTGGAAAGCAGAATTATTTCTGACTCTGATAGCATGTGTCACGTACTAAGCACCTCACAGATTCACTGTAATTACCACATGCTGCAAAAATGAATCAGGCAAATTTCCAATCAGCTGCTCAGGAGCCAGAAGAGATGTGGATAAGAAAAATAGCTCCAGAAAAAACCTTCCTCAAGGACGAGATCTAAGTGCAGGTGCCAGGAGCTTCTGTTGTATTGTCTACAGGTCAAAGCTTCCTTTCCAAGTTGGTGTTTTCTATCTGCGCCCCCCACTACCCCCCCCCCCAAAAAAAAATCTTAAACCTCATTATTCTCAGCTAGAGACACAAGATAAAGGGACAAAGCATGAATTCCCTTTGCCAGTCTCCACATAAGGCCCATAAAATCATTTGGTCTGGCCCCGCCAAGGCATTAGGGGTGAGTTAATGAAATGTTTGACCAAATATAGCAGGCTAATTTTTAAGTGGACGACTTTGTATAGCTTGCATATGATGTTATAAATATCCAAATGGCCCTTGGCAGAAAAAAGGTTCCACACAGGCATGGTGAATTGCAGTGGCTAAAAAATCATGGGGGTTTGGGGGGGAGTCCAAGAGAGAAAAGATAAGCATCAACCTGATTCATCATTAGCTACCAAACCTAGGAGACAGTGTCACAAACTGGTTCTCAAAGGATAGCCTGCACACCACTAGGGGTCCCTGTGGCCCTCCCAGGGGTTAGTGGGGTTACAAGAATTTTCATACAAATAGTAAGAAAGTAGTTATTTTTGTCACTGTGCTGACATTTGTACTGATGGTACAAAAGAAATGTGGGTGGCCCGGCCAACAGGGGTCTCTGGTTGAACAGCGAACTATGAACATGGAGGTCACAGTTCAGTTCCCGGTCAGGGCACGTGCCTGGGTTGCGGGCTCAATCCCTAGTGGGGGGCATGTAGGAGGCAGCCGATCAATGATTCTCTCACATCA